TGCTCTAATCCTATTCATGAGGGCTCCACTTACATTATCATAAGTTAATCAGTAATCTAAATAACTCCTAAACGCCTCACCTTCTCATACTATCACTTCAGGGGTTAGGATTTCAATCTATGAATTTGGGGAGTGGATGGACACAAATGTTCAGTCAATATCAAATGGTGAGGCAGTGGAGTGAAGAAATAGTCAGGGAGAATGCAACTTGGGAATGTGGAACAGGAAACATTATCTCTAGATAGTTTTTGGTGGAGGAAGAAGGAGGAGCAGGCAGAGGAAGATGTGTGGATGAGGAGGGGAAAGGAAGACAAATAACTGCTTCATAGTTTTATAAAGGCACTACCTAATTCTTCAGAATCCCTCTGACTTATTACCAGTCTGATCTTTGTTCTTTGAAAGTATAGCTACTACTTTTGCTTTTACTTCATTGTCCCCAAAGAGCTAGATTGCAATCAATAATTACTTGTTGATTGATTACTTTGTGTTTCAAATCAATCCATACTTATGTGTTTTTTTTTTTTTAAGATTTATTTTTTATTTATGCAAACACTGGGGTACAGGCCAGAGGCGCCGGAGGGTGAGAGAATTCACCAGAGACAGAGCCGGGAACAGACCAGGCAGAAGGACCGAAATACACTGCAAGCGGTTGAGACAGGAGAGGTCTGCTGCGCAGTGTGGGAATCTCCCTGGCCCTCCAGGAATCAAACCCATGCTGCAGAGGCTGTGGACAGCTTCACAGAGCTGCACTTAATCCGCTGCGCCACCGGGGAGGCCCCATACTTATGGTTTTATTAAGACTCTTATAATTGACAGGCCTCCCCGGTGGCACAGGCGGTTGAGCACAGCGCTGTGAAGCTGTCCTGCAGCCTCCGCAGTGCCGGTTAGATCCTCGCCAGCCTTGGAGCAACCCACATGGTGAGCAGACCCCTCCTGTCTCGCCTGCTGCTCCCCTCAGCAGTGTATTTCCTCGGTCTGCCTGTTCTGTTCCCCGCTCTGTCTCTGGTGAATCCTCTCACCCTCCTGCACATCTGGCCTGTACCCCGGTTCTTGTACAAATAAAATAAATCTTTAAAAAAAAAAATCTTAGAATTGACATAGACAAAGCAGACATAAGAACTGTCTCAGGCTTGTAAACTATTTTTTTGAAGATTTATTTATTTATACATACAAGAACCGGGGTACAGGCCAGAGGTGTGGGGTGTGTGTGAGAGGATTCACCAGAGACAGAGCAGAGAACAGAAAAAGCAGACTAACGAAATACACTGCTGAGGGGAACAGCAGGCCAGTCAGGAGAGGTCTGCTGTGCCATGTGGGTATCTCCCTGGCTAGGGATCGAACTTGTGCTGCAGTGGCTGTGGATAGCTTTATAGGTTGTGTCTTAACCCCATGCACCACCAGGGAGGCGCCAAATTTGTAAACTATTTTATATCTTTCCTCAAGGAAATGCAAACATTTGTCCATGCCTATTATGTACCACACACTGTCCTGGGGATTATATTATCAACATTCTAGTAATTCATAATTATTTAAAAAAATTACCGAGCACGTATTATATGTCACACCTTAATGTAGGCAATGATGATAAAAGGCAAAGAATTAGAAACTCTGACCTTCTAGCAGTTGTAATAGGGACTAAACCATTAATTGCCACATAGTGTGATACACATAGTGTGGTAAGTGCAGTGGAAGAGGTAAGCAGTTGCAATCTTGAAGGACAGAAAAGGAGAGCTAAATTTAATTCAAAATGGGAAAGAAGTACAGACCGCAAGAAGAGAATGTGTTTCTGAATGAAAATTTAACTGGGTGCCAAGTGGAGACAAAGGAGGCATGATTAGATGTACTGTGGTATGTTGGATAGGAAAAGGATATCAGAGAAAAACTGAAGAAGTATGAATAAAATGGGGATTTTAGTTAATAATAATCTACTGGCTTATTGTGACAAAAGTAACATATTAATGTAATATAATTAGAGAAATTCTGTGCAGAGTACTCCAGAACTGTCTAATCCGTGGTGCAACCAATACATTCAAAACTACCGTATTTTTGAGAGTTGTCAATCCTAACACTTTTATTTTCCAAGTAATAAAGTATGAAAAATTTAAGTTAATTGTGTAAGGGATTTGAGTTATATATTTCTCCTAAATATTTGATACAAAGCATCTTATTTTCTATAAACAGTTCAATTTGTTTTATTTTAAAGCAAGTTCCCTCAAGAAAATAAGTATTAGACAGGGAATATACTTCAATGTTGAAATACTTTGCTTCTAAGTGCCAGTTGCAACCAGTTACAGAAGCTGAAAAAGAGCTGTTCTAAATTTCTCCCTTCCTCCCCCTCTTTCCCTCCCCTGATTCTTCTCTCCACACCCCACCCTCCCAAATGAACCATCAACAGAATTAATCTTAATTTGGGGCCTCCCCGGTGGCGCAGCGGGTTGAGCGCTGGGCTGGGAAGCTGCCCGCAGCTTCTGCAGCTGCCCGCAGCTTCTGCAGCGCTGGTTCGATCCCAGGCCGCCGGGCCAGGGCCCCACACGGCAACCCACATGGCGCGCACACCTCTCCTGTCTCGCCCTCTGCTTCCCTCAGCAGTGTACCTAGGTCCTTCTGCCTGCTCTGCTCCCTGCTCTGGCTCTGATGAATTCTCTCACCTTCCTGCCCTTCTGACTGTACCCAGTGCTTGTATAAGTAAATAAATAAATCTTAGAAAAAAAAATTAATCTTAATTTGGATTGTGCACACCTCAAAAGGTTAAAAAAGTATCCATATATTACAAAATCCGCAAGGTTAAGTCTCTGCAAGTTGTCACTTGCCTAGGATGACTGCTAATTTATGCTGCCTGAAAGGAAAACAGTGATTATTTTACTCTTCATGTTGCTCCCCTGGGGGGGGGAAAACACGAGTTGTGGGAGAAGACCTAAGAGCCTGGAATAAAAATAGAATTGTATAAGTTTTTTTTGAAGGTGAACTTAGAAAAGATCTATCCAAAAGAATAAAGATGGGACTTTTAAAAATGATAGAGAATTTTAGAGTGTTTTCTTCCAGATACAAGACAATTTTGTTCCAGATACAAAAATATTTGGCACAGCTTTAGTTTCTGCTTTGCTGCTTAATACAATTAGGAAGTTAGTCTTACTGTTTAATACTTAATATGCTAGACCTCGTAATTAAACCTATCCTCAAATGGTTAATAAAAATTATACATCAGATGTTACATGGGTTCCCTTGATTTTTCATCTATTCACTTCCACTTTAAGTTAAACTCCCCAAACCCACATGTATATTCACTTTGTAAACGTGTAGAGTGAAATCTATGTGCAAAAATTTCTGAAGCGTTTTAGAATAGTCAGAGGTAAAAAGTGGCTTCTATGCTGTTTCTATTCGTGCTACTCAAAAATGGTTTTGTACTTTTAGATGGGAGGGGACCCTATGTTAGATTTTTGTTTAGTTATATGTCATTGTTCTTGGGCCCTACCAAAACATTAAGGCGAAGGCTTGTTAATAAAAATATACTTTCAAGGATTTGGTTTCTTTCTACAGCAGGATCATGGATTCTTCAAAGGACTTGCTCGCACAGGAAGTCCAGGTCTGCTAGGGCTGCCAGGAGAGGGGTGGTTTTGTGTGTAAATAGGACTCCGCTCCCGGACGCGCTCCGCGTGGTCCAGCTCGGCGCCCCCGGGAGGCCCGGTCGCCCACGCCCAGGATCCAGGGCCACGGGGAGAGCCGGGCCCACCGCTTACTACCCGCCCGCGGCGGCCGCGGAGCCCTCGGCCTGCGCTCGGCGCGGCCCTGCCGTCACCCCGCCCACGCCTCCGGACGCCGGCTGGGCGCGCGGCCACGTCGCTCGCTTCGCCTTCCCGGCTCGCCCCGTGGAGCGGCCGCGGCAGCGCCCTGGCGTGGCTGGGGCGCGCCGCTCCGGAGCCAGGCCGCGAGGGCGGGGCTTGGGGCCGCGCTGGATGATTTCCTAACTCAGTGGTCCATGAGGGCGAGGAGGGGCCGCGTAGGGGCCAGGCCCGAACGCCACATGGCGCGACTTAGCGGGCCTCAGCGTTGGCCGCCGCCGCGGAAGCAGCGTGGTGCTGGACGCCCACCGCCCACGCCGGGGAAGCATGGGTCAACTAACGAGGGTTTCGCCGCAGCCCGGGCGTCTAAGGGGGAATTTGAGAGCGCGTGGGGGAGGGGCGGAGAGCAGGCGCCTCGAAGAGAGCATGCTCTGTTCTGAGAGCCGTAAGTGGAGAGGCAGGCATGCGCAGTGAGCTCAGGGTGGGTTGGCACCGGGGAGGGGCTGCCGCGAGCTGGCTGGTGTGTTTATCCGGTTTTCTGGGTGGGCGGTCAAAGCGCACGCGTAAGGGCGCCAGGCGGCGGTGCCGGGTAGCCGCACGCGCATGCGCGGAGCGACCCGGTAGCTGTGAGAGGGTGTGGAGGGGGCTCTTAGAGGAGAAGCAGGGGAAAAGGGAAGCGAAGGGAAAGGAAAGGGCGGAGGGGGAGGGGGTGAGAGTGCGCTCTGCGCATGCGTGCCAGCGCTAGCGACGACGGCGGCGGGGGAGTCTCGGGGAATGACAGTGGCTTTGCCCGTTGGGGTAACGGTCGTCGTCGCCGGCAGGGCCTGAGGCGCCGCACAGCCCGCGGGATCCATTAAGGCCGCAGCAGCCCGGGGCCTACCGAGCTCTAGTGGCGCGTGGAGTCGGGTGAGGGCGGCGAGGCACGGGGGGAGGGGCCTGCGGCGGGGCCTCGCAGTGTGTGCTGGGCGGCGGCAGGGCCTGGCAGGGAGAGCGCTCGCCTCAGCCGCGGCCGGGCGGGCGCTGTGGGCGGCGGCGGCCGTCGTGCTCGGCGGAGGAGGCGTCCGTGTGTGCGGTGCGGAGAAGATGGCCGGGCAGTGAGGGGGCGGCGCTTGCGCCTGGTGACCTCGGAGTGAGCGACAGGAGAGCGAGGGGCGCCGCTGCGGCCCGACCGGGCCTGCTCCCCGCCCCCTCCCGTCGCCGCCGCCGCCGCCGCCGGCCCGCGCACTTCCTCCCCGGCCCCCCCATCGGGTGGGGGGGACTCTCCGGGCCGCTTCGCCGCCTCGGGGGGCCGCAGACCTCTGACCGCCGAGGCGCCGTTGGGGCCCGCGTCCGATATGGAGAGAGCGGCGGCGGCCTCTGCCTGCCGCAACAGCAACGTTCGCCGCCGCCGCCGCGACTTCGTGCGCTAGATCCGAGAAGCCGCCGTCCCCGCGCCGCCCTTGCCGTCCCCGCTACATCCGCGCCGGGCGCTGTGATGGAGTAAGGGCCCTGCCGCCCGTGAGAAGCGTGCCCGCCCCTCGGACCGGGCCGGGCCTGCTCCCGCGCCCGCGCAGCTCGAACTGAGGAGGTGCCTCCGCGTCCGGAGATGCAGCTCGCGCGAAGGCCGCCCGCCGAGCCGCGGGGCTAGACTGAGCGCCGAGTCCCGGCCGAGCGCCTTAGCCGCCGCGTTCTGCGCCCCGCGGCCGCCGGGGACAAACTCAGACGCTGGTTCCTCGCTCTCTTTTTTGTCTGCAAGTCTCAGGGACGGAGGAGGGGCGCCAGGGCCCCATGTGTGGGAGGATTGCTTCAGCTCCACAAACTTGCACGGATTTTGGTTACTACTTTGGCCAGCGGTTCTGCTCTGATTTCCTCCGAATTGTTGCAAATTCGCCATTGTTCCCGGGCTGCTTACAAAGTTGGATCCGGAATTTCTTTTCAACCGGGAGCCAGCGGTGTCGAAGCGTCTGCAATGAACCCGGTGAATGCTACTGCTCTCTACATTTCCGCGAGCCGCCTAGTGCTCAACTACGACCCGGGAGACCCCAAGGCGTGTACAGAGATTAACAGGCTTTTGCCTTACTTCCGACAGTCCCTCTCGTGCTGTGTTTGCGGTGAGACGTTTTTTATTGTTCCCTTTTCAATGCGTGTTTGAAAAAACCTTCGGGGCAGTGGTAACTGGAGCGGTTTGGTGGCGTGGTAGTTTGTATGACGCTTTTATTATTTGTTGCTGTGTACGGTCGTTCGTTTTTGAAACTCTCCGTAGGACTTTTTGCCTGGCATTTCAGAAAGTCCGAACCTTTCCAAAACGCTTTACACAGAGGTCTTAACGTTCACAACTGTTTAATTCGACTCGGCTCAGCTTCTTACCATTTCTTGGGCTCTTTTGAAATGAGGTAAAACACGCCCTTTTTTAACCCGTTGATACAAGAGCAATCTTAATACCAACCGTGGATAAGCCTGATTAAAACTTACACCCGTGGCTTGTTTGCATTTCCCCAAACTGGTGTGGGTGGTAGTATAATCTGATTTATCCACAGCCAGTGAAGCCGGTGCAGAACTCACCCCAGGTTCTTCAAATTCCTTGACAGTTTGACGGTAAACAGTGAGCCAGGGGAGACTTAAGGTACTCTCCTAAGTACTTTTTTAGTTGGTGGAATTTTTACAGGTTTGCTTTCCTTACTGTGTGGTTTTACTATTTTGTGGCCTGGCAGAGGGTTGTTTTAGGCGTTTATGTTAACAAGATACTGATTTGTGTTGGGTAGGACACGTCTAAATTATTTTTGAGATATGAAGTTATGCTGAATTGCTTAACATGAAATGTTTCAAAAGTGATGACTGTTTAATTGTGCATGTAATTATTTGCTTTTCAAAAAACCTCCATTGGAAATATTAATACAAAGGGAAGGGCAACTGACACAGAAAAGCATTATTACACACTGTTTCATGTTCTCACCCCAACAAAAATTTTGAGGTTTTGTTGATCCACTCACGGGTTTGGTCAGGAACTTGCGAAATCCAAGCACTTCAGGCTTTTACTTTATCTTAATTAGATGAAGGAGCGTAATTAGGGACTTGTGGTGGCCGAAGGAGGAAAGAAATACGGTATTCTGTTGTCATTCTTCAGCATTTACTGTATAACTGTGGGGCAAGGCACTGAGGGAATGCAGAAGAGGTGAGGATTGTGTTTTTTTCTTTTTTCGTACTGGGTACTTAATCTCATAAACATTTAAGTAATTGAGTAAGAATGTGATTAAGTGCTGTAACTGGTAATAGACACTTAACAGCAGTATAGAGAAGTTGCCTTGGGCAAATCAGTTAACTGTCCTGGGCCTCAGTTTGTTAATGTGTAAAATGGGACATTTGGGCTATATTCCGTTTCCTTTCATCTTAGATTTTACAAATATAACTAAACATTTGCTGGGTTTTATCCTCTCCCCCCCCCCCCTTCATTTATGTCCTAACAGCGTTTGATAGGTTTCAGACTGAGGAGCTGCTATAACTTTCTTCTCCACAAACCTGTATGGTGTGTTGGGGAGGGAAATTGCTGTGGTGATGTAGGGGGAAGGGAGAGCTATGGGGCAGCCCACCCTGGCCCCATAGAATAGCACTAGTACTGTCATCACCCTGGAAGGTCTCCTTTTCACTAGGTGGGTGGGACTTTGCCCTCTAATTTACGGGGAGGAATAGTAGTTTTGAATCATGAAGATGCTTAGATATTTTCTTATCCAAGCTTTAGCATAGTTGTGGTCTTATCGAACATTTTCTCAAATTCTAACCAGGATTTTAAAAAATATTGAAGATGAAGTTGCATTTTAAAAAGCTCAACTGTAGTGGTTTTTTTTTTTTTTTTTTAAACCAATGTTGGCAACATAAGGGGAATTTTTCTGACGGTGGGGCTTTGTAATTTTTCCTGTTCAAACTTCCCTCCCCACCATTCTATGGAAAGGTTTGTGGTTTCTACCTTACCTTTGTAATTGCATAGCTGGCATAAAATTTCAATGATTTGGATGTAGTTTCAACACCTCCCCATTTTCATCTCTTTGGACATAAGCCTGTCCTTATCAAGAGATGGAAGAAAAAAATCAGATATATGAATTCAGATTCAGCATATAGTCATCTTTGTATCAGATGCTGTCTTTGACTCTTAGCTGAAAGCAGAAATGCAATCAATTTAACAGGGCAGTCTTATTTTATGAACATAATAAATATGTGAAAGTAAAGTTTATTTTTGTCTTGGTGCTGTAAATAGGGATTTTATTTCAACAGATCTTTCAATATCTGACCCAGAATCCTATATTTTTAGCCTTCTATTCAACTATTCTCTTATATAATTTCTCTGCTTCAGCCAGATGGATTTTTTTTTTACATTTTCAAGCATTTGTGCCTTTCATCTTCCTCTTTTTCTCCACCTTTTTTTCTTTAAAGTTCCTTCTGCCAAAATACGCTTCTTTCCTCTGTGACCTCAGTTCCCTTCCTCAGTAACTTCTTCCTTGCTCACTCCAGCAAAAAGTTCTTTGTCCTTTGAAACCCTCTGTTAACTCTTTGTTCCAGTGATGTACATTTACAGTTCTTTCAGTGTAATTTTTGATATCTAATTCTTCTGATATTTTAGGGAAAATACTATTTTTTGGTACATTTTTGTGTTGCTCCTGCCTCCACTCCTATCTAGTGACTTGCCTGTAGGTGTTTATGACAGATTCAGGAAGAAAGTGAGAGGGAGGTGAGGAAGGGAAAGTTATGAGACTTACAGTTTGGTTAAATCTTGTCTTTTCCATCTACTGTGTAGGCAAATGGCTTTTACTTTTTGCCCCAGTTTCCTTTTTATAAAAGGGAATAATTATATCTCCTTCAACTTTTTTTCTCCATGTTTGTGCTATATGTGGAATTGCTTTTTAAGTGGGGGAAAGACTTTTTGAACCCATGAGAACAAGTCCATGGATTTGGTGTCTAGTACATACTATGTGTGTAGTATCCCACCCTTGGGCAGAAAGTAGGGAAGGATAGGAAGAGGTGACATCAGAGACTGAACTGTCAAGTCAGTTATTGTCAAACCTGAATTATTCACTGGAACTACTGGTTTTGTTATCATTGTTCTTTGAAATGCTAATTAGCTGATTACCACTGTTTTACAATTGCTTTTGTGTATTTAAACCTGAAACTTCTAGTGAATTGAATAGCAGTGCTTCAGAGAATTACTGACCTTTCTAGGCCACATAAACAGTGACCTGTACTGTATTACTGTGGGTACTACTTTTGTGTCAGTTCTTTCCCCTTTTTATAAATACTTGCTTTATCATTTGTGATCAACTGCAATACAATTTCTTTTCTTTTGGTAGCATGAGACTTGATAACATCTGTCCTAGGAATTTTAAGTTTATTAAACTTTGAAATCTTCAACTGATACAAGTTTGATATAAAGACATAAATCCATAAAGTACATGCTAAGTGGAAAAGTATTACTCCGAGATATTTGGAGTCCTGTAAAATAATTTTGGTCACATGATTACTACTTGGGCACATGGATATTTTCCTAGTGTTTTAATTGGAGTAGGAAAAAAACAGTTTGGCTTTGGATTTACTGAATAATTGTGGTCCAGTTTCTCATTTATAAAATGGAAAGGGACTTGGAGATCAGTGTTTCCCGCTGAAACAGTGACATAGTCTAACCAAGTGTTTGTTTTGAATGTTACGTATTTAAAACTATCACCTTTCTTACTACTTTTGACATCCCTTAAGGGTGAGAATTTTGCTGGTCTTATTCTCTAGACAGTTACTGGCTCAACAAGTGTTTGAACAAGTATTAAACAAGTACTAAAAAAGAGAGAATTTCTAAGTAGGAAGGATGTGTTTTCATAGTAAAGTAGATTGCTTAAAATGAAATAAATTTGACTTTGTGAAAGACTGATTTTTCTCACATTCCCATTTTTTGTGGAGTTACATTGGAATTTGGAGAAGATCATCTCAAAAATCTCTTGTTTAGCAGAAATAGTATTTGAGCAAGCAATTTATAAATAGAAAATTATTCTAAATTCTAATTATTGAAATTTGATCATATAACCTGGAGTAACTTACTTTATACTACATTTTTAGATGAACACTAAATTGAAAGGTCGTTTGAATACTTATAAATAAATCTATGTTAATGTTTTATATTTAGTTTTCGCAGTTTTCAAGTTCTTTTGTATTTAAAACCACTACAATTAATATTTTTATTGTGGTAAACATAATATGAAGCTTACCATCTTAACTGTTTTTAAATGTACAGTTCAGTAGCATTAAGTGTATTTACATTTTTCTAAAATTTTTCAGAATTTTCTCATCTTAAAGATCTGAAATACTATACCCATCACACAACAACCCATTTTCTCCTTACCCCCAACTTTTGGGTTCATCATTATACTTTCTGTCTTATGAATTTGACTACTCTAGGTACCTGTACTGTTAGAGTAATACAGTATTGGTCTTTTTGTGATTGACTTATTTCATTCAGGATGCTTTCAAGGTTCATCCCGGTTAATATAGCATGTGACAGGATTTCCTTTTAAGACAAAATAGTATTTCATTGTATATACCACATTTTGCTTATCCATTCATCCAGAGTTGTTTCCATCTCTTGGCTGTGTTGTAAGACCCTGCTTTCCATTCTTTTGGCTATATACTCAGAAATGGAATTGCTGAATTTTATGCCATTTTTTTTTTTTTGAAGAACCTCCATCCTGTTTTCCATATTTCAAAAATGTTTGAACCATTTTACCTATAGAGCTAAAGGGTCCAGTTGTCCATATCCTTGCCAACACTTGTATTGTCTTTTTTTCAAAAAATTGTAGCCATTCTAATGGATATGAAGTGATAACTCATTGTGGTTTTGATTTGTATTTCTCTAATGATTAGAGTTACTGATCATCTTCATTTGCCTGTTGGTCATTTATATATCATCTTTGGAGAGTCACTATCATTTTTATCTTAAAAACTTGTTATTTCACTCATCATACCTTTGTTAACATGTGATCTATGTGCTGGAAAAGAAAGATGAGTAAGGCATAGAGCTCCTGACTGACATGTTGCTCAGTCTTACAGGGTCAGACAGGTAAGTAAAGCAGTGGCATTGTGT